ATTTGGCTGGAATCTTTACATTTGGAACTAAACACAAATCATGAGCATTCTTTCCAAACAAATCTTTTCCTTTCAGCGCTCTGATCTCCCTCTGCATCTCTTGAAACTGATCTTGAAATTCCTACATTCTATCGAAAAAACCTGGACTTTCAGCAGGCTCAGCATGATAAGTAGGCTCATTCAGGTATGGCATAGAATGAACCACAGGAGCGGCAATTGTCATCATCAGTTGAGGGAAAGATGCCACAGGCGGAATTACAGGCGACACAGTAGTTGTCTCTGGTTGAGGGAAGGACACAGTAGGTTAAACTAAAGGTTGTACGGCAGGATGATACCCTTATGGCATGAAGTTATAAGGCATTCCCCACAGAAAACCCTTTGGCATCTGATGTTGAAACAGAGAGTTGACTTGAGTTACAGATGTTGGAACGGTGACAATCTCAGAAACCACAGTAGTTGAAGTCTGAGTCTCCGCAGCTGAAGTCGATGGCTGATTTTGAGCAGCCATCAAACTTTCCACTAGCGCAGTTAACTTTTCCATTCTGACACGAAGGGTAGCAACCTCCTCGCGAAGCTCGTGGTTTTCCTATTCCAGATCTTCCATCTTCCTTTGACGATTAGCTCGGGTATCTTACCGATGAGACAACTTGACAATCTATCGGAGTGGAAAAAGAAACAAGGATAAGACTCTAGAAAACAGGTGAAATGGAATGTTGTATGATGCATGATATGCGATGCAAATGATCATTTGTTTTGATAGTTTTTTTCAAGGAACTTTGATAACTTTGCACACATCAATGGTAAAGGAATTTGGAACAACAAAAACTCATTTCATTAATCAAAAGCGGTAAATTACAACTTACAACCTTGGAACAACAAAACAATAAATTACAACTTTGGGACAGCAACCCAATAATAAAACGCAATAAATTACAACTTTGGGACAACAACCCAATAAAAAGAAGTAAATTACAACTTTGGAGCATGAAGCCCTTTTACAGAGTTTTACAAAATGACAACAGTAATAAAAATAAAACTAAGAACTAAAGATCCCTCAAAATCATCAGATGAAGGACCAAATGCCAACTGTAACTGGAGCTTCTGAATCTTCTCTTCATAAAAGTATTCCAACTCTTTCTTCTCATCTACCAGTCGATCAACGATTCCCTTTTGTGGATTAGGAACAAGGGCGACACTCACTGAATCTTCCTTCTTTCTCTTCCTTTCATTTGCATATTTCTTGAGTAAAGCATCCTTTTGAAGAAGCTTCTCATCATGATCAATGAACCAGCCGTCTTGAATAAATAAAAAATCCTCCTTTTCCTTTAGTTGTCGAGTCAGGACCCGATTCTCGTATTCTGACATATTATACTTTTCTTTCCAAGCATCTCTCTCGGACTTCATTCTAGCCAGATTTCCTTGGTATTCTCCCATATTCTCGATAGGGATATCAACAGATGATGATGCAACAGTAGGGAATAAAGGTTTCTCGGGTTTATAGGGCATCTTGAGAGCACGAACCCATTGTAGGTAAGGCTCCAAAGAAACAGCACCTTTCTGTCCTAACATGTCTCTCCCTTTCCTATGGATGTGACACCAAGCTCCTTCGATCTCCTTCTTAGCTGCTTGGTGATCTTGTCCTTCTTGTAGAAAGAAACCACTCACATGGATGTTGTTCGGCTTGTCTCTCATCGGGTATCCAAACTGACGGCGCGCGAGAACAGGATTATAGTTAATTCCTCCTTTCGTACCAAGAAGAGGCACGTTAGGAAAAGCACCACAGCTATCGATGATCTTCACATTATAGTAGGCTCGATTATACCAATCAATGTCGAAATGGGTGAGAGCCATAATTTTTGGCGCCCATCGTGGCTCCTTCTCGAGATCCCAGAAAACATCAGACCTAGGCAGATGAGAAACATGCCACTGATACAGCAACGATGCACAACAAATAATCACCCCTCCTTGATAAGAGTTTCTAAGATGGATGGAGTAGTAGGTATCTCCTAGCAGCGTAGGGACCGGATTTCCAATCAAGAAAATTCTGATGGCGTTGATATCCACGAACTTATCAACGTTAGGGAACAAGAATAGGCCATAAGCGAGTAAAGCAAATACATCTTCAAAGGCAATAGTATCTTTTATCTCAGCGAAATGACGAGCTTTCTTCAACAAAAACTGCACAGATAAACCTCGGATTCCCCCTTTTGTAGTCATGTTCTCCTCTATCTCCGACTTCCTCAAGTGGGTGATAGTCGCTATCTCGTGATATTTGGGTTCCTCTTCTAAGCCAGAAAAAGGAACACAGTCAGTGATCGGCAAACCAAGTATGTAGGAGTACTCTTCTAAGGTGGGCATTAGCTGGTAATCTGGAAAGGTGAAGCATCGATACAAAGGATCGTAGAATTGGACCAATGTACTAAGGATGCCTTCCTTCATCTTGCGCTTCATGAGAGGTATAATGGACCCATACTTTTTCTGAAAATCCGTCGGGTTCTTGATCTTAGGAATCAAACTCTTCAGCTCTTCAATCTTGGGCTCCTTAAAACTATAACTTCGAGTGTTTCTTCTTCCAAACTCCATAATAACAGTACCTGAGATGTCTGCAAAAATCATTCTTAAGTTCCTTGAAAAACAAGTTTTTACAAAAAAATTTGATGGATGCATGGATGAATGATAATGCAACAGTTACACACAAGTTCACAAATATGGGGTTCAAAAGTTCAACGCTTCGAGCATGGAGTCAAAGGTAAAGCCCACCCTAGGGTATGTACTAAAAGTTTAATCACACCTGCAAGACAAGGTTCTAAGAGTTCCCAGAGTCTACATTCCTCCTTCGGATATTACCAACGTCTTGATTACTCAATAATTAGCAATATTCTCAAGAGAAACTCATCTGAGCGTAGCATCGCGTGACAACTACTTCCGGATTACTCCGTTATAGTCTCCGCGCTACACCTAAAAGGCCAAGATGGGTTAGGGTTCTACGGTTCTCAGCTTCTCTGGCTCCCAGGTCGAAAATAATAATGTTTTCCCGATTACTCGGTGAATAAATACTACGTTCAAAAGGGCCTTCCACTGAGTGGGGGATTTCATGCCTCCTTCTTCGGGATTACTCCCTCAAAGTTAACATGACTATACCGCCCGTCCTATTCTTAAGAGTAACTTAATCCAGGTATAGGATTCGTCCTTTGCAAAAACCAAACAACCCCAATATAAACATATAATCAAACAAATCAAATAATAATAAAACAGATAAAACAAACTAGGCTTAACCCACTTAGGAATGGACCAGCAAGAGGTCAATCTGTCCCCAGCAGAGTCGCCATTTCTGTAGCGATAAAAAATGTAGCGGGGTAAATCGGAGATCGAGCTATTAATTAACTCGTCTCACAAAAGCAAGAGTCGCCACCGCGCTTTATTATTTCCAAGGGAAAAGGGAAAAAGAGAGAAATAAAACCCTAAAAAATATGCAATGTAAATTAATACTTTAAAAGTAATGAAAGTACAAGGCGTTTTGAAAAGAGGTCTAGAGTTCGGGGGTTGGTTATACAATGGGAAGGTATTAGCACCCAATATATCTATAGTATTCTATAGGAACCTTTTGAAATATCTGTTTATTAAAAATGTTAGTTTGATTAAAAAAATTAATTGCTTGGCCAAAAATGGGTATGGACGAGTTTTTTGAAGATACGACGACCTAACGTTGAAGTTTTGAATTAAAAGGTATGAGTTTTAAAAGGTTGAATATTTGGAAAAATTATCTTAAGTTTTTTAACAAAATAATAAACGGAAGATGAATGAGGGTATTCGCGCTATGTGTTTGATGACATGAAGTCGACAAAAGTTTAAACGATTCCCTTGGATTGAGACGGACGAAAGATATGCAGATTAACGATCGATTAATTAAAATTATAATTAAACAATTAACTAATGAAATTTAAATCATACTAGCATGCATTTTAACGATTAAATAAATAATCAAAAGTACATGAAGATTAAATTACGAAATCATAGATTTTAAACACATAACAAAAATTAAATCATGAAACGTGTATTTTTGAATAATTAAATAAACAACAACACAAAAATAAAAATAAATACTAATAGTATGTTGACGAAATTAAATAGAGATGAATTTTAATTAAACATTTTATGTGTTTTTTATAATAATTAATAATTATACAGCAAACTAAATTAATATAATTAAGTATGTTTAAATAAAAGAGAAATGGCCAAAAGAATAAAAGACAGAAAAAAAAGACCCCACAAGGACTTGAACTCAGGACCTTTAGATTGTTGTTAACACTATTTACCAATTAAACTGTTAACACTTTCTGTTATATCTAAAACTCAATTAAATTAAAAGGAAAACGAACTAGAAAAAGCTAGGCCAAACGGGCCCAATGGGCCAACCGGGTTATGGATTAGGAGGGACAAAACGAAACCCTAGTACACTTAGAGACAAGCCGCCGCTGGTTGTTCTAGCATAGGGAAAAGAAAAACAAAATATATTATATGCTTTATTTATTGAAAAGAGGAAACATATTATTATTATTATATTGTTTTGGAAAGAGGGAAAGAGTAATTTATTATATGTTAATAGAAACAAAAGACAGTAAAGTAATTTTGACAAATGCAACGTTATCCTCCATCTCCCATACGGAGAAAAAAAACGTCCTTCTCCTTCCTTCTTACAGATCCGCTCACTTCTACTTCCTCTGCTAGTGTATTCAAACCTTCTTCTTCCTCCAACAAACAAAATTCATCCTCCTCTCTTTAACGCATCCAAACTCCTTCATCCTTTCTCTATGCAGATCTGAACTCTCTTCTCTCTGTTAACAGGGAAAAAAACATTCGTCGCCTCTTTCTTCATCCGTAATAACAACGATACACGTTGGATCCGACCGTAAAACTACCGGTGTTGGAAAAAGCGGTGTCGAGCCTCCAGTTTCTGGTGGCAGAATAAGAGCAGTTATGGCGGGTTTTAAACGCCGACGATGGTGGCGCGCCGGAGAGTGCTTGTCGGTCGTCTGTGGTCGTTGATGGTGAGTTTGCAGTTTTTAATGCTAACGGGTTTGTGTCTTTGAATTAAAAACGTTTTTTTATCATGAAAATGATGATGGTTTCTGATTTTAAGTGTTGTTTGGGATTTTTGCAGGTTAAGCATTTGAAGATTATATGTCGTTTTGGATTTTTAGCAACAATAAGTGGTTTTGGGAGGTTTTAAGATTTTTGTAACAACAAAAGGATAATAAACTCTTTTTGGACAGCAAAGGCAAAAATGGTTTTCTTTGATTTTTGCAACAGCAAAATATTTTTTTTGTTTTGGATATTGTAACAACAAAATATTTCTTTAGGTTTTGGAGATTGTGACAGCAAAATATTTTTGGATACTGTAACAACAAATGGGTTTTTTTTGGATATTTGTAACAACAAATTTTTTTTAAAATATTTGTAATAGCAACATTTTGTGGACTTTGAGATTTTGTAAAGCAAAAAGGATAACCAAATTTTTGGACAGCAAAATGTTTTGGACAGCAAAGGTGTTTTGTTTGGACTTTGCAACAGCAAAATGGTTTTATGGATTTTAAATTTTTGTGACAGCAAAATGGATAACAAATATTTTTGGACAGCAAAGATGGATAACAAGTATTTTTGGACAGCAAAGATGGATAACAAGTATTTTTGGACAGCAAAGATGGATAACAAGTATTTGGGACAGCAAGCGATAAATTGGTATTACGCGACGGAAGAAGTAAGCTTTTTAGTACACTTGTTATTATTACTGATATTATGAATACTAACATGTTTAAATGCTAATAATCATGCAGCAACTCAACTCAAATACAATACAACAAAGAAAAGAATGATAAGGCAAAATATTGCATGGCAAAGAAAAATGATACAACAAGTAATTCAAGCATGAACATATGCAACAGTAGATAGAGAGGAGAAAAAGAATAATACCTATCGGAGCCTCTCCGATGGGGCTTCTAACAAAATGGTAAGCTTCCTTGAGTTTGCTATCTTTTCTCCTTGCTGGATTTTTTTTAGAAAAACCCTCTATTTTTTTATGATTTTTTTTACTTGCTGGATTTTTCTAGAACAACACCAATTTTCTGTTTTCTTTAACTGCTGAATTTTTCTTCCCCCCTCTTTGTGTTGACAAAGGCTCTTATTTATAGTGGAGTATGTGGGATTTGAAGGGGGGGGGGGGGGGGGAATAGTAGAAATTTGAACTGTTTTGGCAAGCTGTTTATATGTTTTGTTCCTACCATTTATTTTAGCCATTTTGATACAAATTGCTGCTACTTTGATGCAGGTTGGAGCAGATTTTTGGCAACACTTGGAGCTGTTGTATGTTGCTGTTTTTTTTGACTGTTTTGTAGCATTTTACAACATCTCTATTTGTTGTTTTTTCCAGGCTGTTTGGAGCATTATTGACCAACAAAAATACAACAAAATGGGCTTGAAGAAAGGTTGCAAACATGGACTGCATTAGCAACTTTGCTGAATTTTTTTTATGTTGAAAATACATTTGTACACACTTGTAGTTTCTTGCAACCTTGTAATAAACTCCAATAAATTGTAACATGAATAAACATGCATTCTTCAATATATTTCCACTCTTTGATAGTTATGAATAATCTTGAATCTTCACATAAACATAAATCTTGATATATCTTGATAAAAATTCAAGATCTTTCATTTAAATTTGGGAAATAATTGAATAATACTTGGATGAATTGTTGAATGTTGAATAAATAATAAAGCAAGTCTTGGACTTTAATCTTGCACTTTTGTGATAGAAATCTAAATAAATCACATGGATTAATCTGTGATCAAGTAAAATTCCTTATGTAATTAAATAGAATTCCTCACTAACTTCTTGAAATAATACTTCAATGTATTTAAATAACCATGATGTAAATCTTCCAAAATAATCACAAAAATAATCTTGAATAAATATTCCATGTGATAAATGAATATTCTTGAATGAAAACTCTTGAATAGCTTCTCTTTAATTATCACTTGGATTCAAATAAAGAAAATCTCAAATATTCCGAATATTCCGAATAAATTCTTCTAGAACGATTTCAAATTTAATTATCCCATTTCGGTGAAATCCAACCTGCGTCGTGAGAAAATTTGCCGATGACTTTTGGTCCAAGAAATCGAAAATGACGGTATACTTGTTTTTTCTTGTATTCTAGAACAATGTGAAACACACATGAACCAAAGCCGGTAGAATTTCGATTGTTCTTCCTGAAAAATATTCGGAGAAAAACGGAGACCATTTGCTAGACAGAGTGTGGAAATAAACGCACAATTCTCTGAAATTCTTTGATGAACCAGTCTTTTGGAAATTAATGAACGATAGCATTTCTGTTCTGAGACTCGAAATCCTGATCGACGTACAATGTCTGATGCTTTTCTTTCAGACCTATTTTCTGCACATGAAAACAAAACAGTAAAACATACACTTCGTGCTTGATTAGTGGTTAGTCATTCATAAAATGCTCACAACACTCGATAATTTCTACACAATCAAAGCTTGACAGTGAAACGTTTGAAACCTACCGTATTTTGTGACCTTGATGTGTATGAAAAATAATGCAAATGAAGCAGGAATCTTAGGTCAAAAATTGGGGTATGACAATATCAAACAATCCCAATCCCAGGGAATGTCTTAAGAAACCAAAAAGAAGATTACTCTTCCAAAGAATACTTAGTTTTCCTTAAAAGCTTTAACTAAGAACAATACTAAATTGTTTGCTTAATAGCTAGAGGAGAACAATAACTTGGTAAACAAGTAACAACCAGTCAACAAAATTGCATCAAAAGATACATGAGGACGTACAAAAACAGAAACTCCCTTGAAGAAGCCTCAAACCCTAAGACTAAGAAAAATAGGCTTCCCCTTATTTTTTACAAAGTTCATAATGAAATTAGTTGTAGGTAATTTCTTTAAATACTCCTCAGTGATCCATGTGCCTTGAATCCTCTTCCATATATTCCTTGTTGCATAAGCTGAGGGCTGCACCAATTTCTGCAGAACGATCTCCTTAAATCTTGGAACAAAACACAAGGTTTCTTAAATTGTCTCAAATCCCAATTTTGGAAACCTGTGTGCAGCTGAAGATAAATCAAAGGTTCCAGATTATATATTCTTGACATGTGAAAAATCAGTGAGATAAAACCAAAAGGAATCTCACATAATCAATTTAAATATGTCAAGAATAAATAACATGTGTTGATGTTCTGATACAGGATGTTACAACATCTGTCAGAACACCTGCCTTCAAATGAATCTGACCAGCATGTTAGAACATCTTCCATAACATCATGCTACAAACCATGTTTTAGCAAAATTATGCCAATCCTAAAACCATGGTACTAACACTTTGAGTAAATTGAGTAATTGTACAACAATTGAACACACAAAAATATAAACTAGAGACTCTTATTTATACTAATTCTAAATAAACAGTCTTCTTATCAGAAGAGGACATGTTCTCGCTTGCATGCGTTTGATCCTTCAAAGGCCTCCACGCGTCTCTTTTCAAAAGGAACAATTTCCAAAATAAGAATGTTCATCCTTATTTCAAATCTCTTCGCTGAACCCGCCTCAAGTATCTTTCAAATATGAGATTTTGAATTCGTCTTATTTTAGTAAAAGTCTGGTCGAAAAGGCCATTATATGCCTTTGTCGAAGCATCTTTCCAATACTCTTTATTCTTCTTCAAAAACCTTAATATTTTCATGAAACCTTGAGTGTTGAATTTTCTAGATAACATTCATCATGTGATAAGGACAACCAGGTTCAAGAATCCTTGCATATGTACACTTGCTGGATGAAACACGCATTAAATATTCACTTTCAGAATCATTCGTTTGGACCATATTTGTAGAACTGGATAAGCCCTACTCTTTTTTGAACAATCCATCTTCCAATGATTAATTTGTTTTCAATTATAACACTCAACTGTTTATGATTCCTGGATTTAGACCTCTTATTTCTAGAACCTCCATTACCCTTGTCCCACCCATGGTCTTACCCACTTTCACATACAGATAGTCACCTTGAGTTCATTCCTCTACTTCTTGTCTCCTTTGAGAATGAGACAAAAGTATAACAATAATCACATCAAGATAAATAGTTTCTTTTCCATAGATAAGAGTAGTCACCAAGTGCTCATTAGAACCTGGTAACAAGAAAAGCAAGATAGTTTCCTTATCTTCTTCATCAATCTTCAATCTAAGCCCTACCAGATAGGTGATTATGATGTTGAAGTCGTTGACATGTTGTTGCATATCATATCCTTCATGCATCTTTAGATTGTAGAGTTGTTGCTTCGCAAACAATTTGTTCATCAGCGTCTTTGACATACACTAACTCTCCAATTTGTCTCAAACCTCTTTCAAAGTTGTTAGGTCCAGGATATAATGCATTATCTCGTTTGAAAAACATAAGAGAATTAATCCTGCGACCTTCTTCTTCTTCTCTGCCCAATCAGTATCCTCCATGTCATTTGGTTTCGTCTTACGCGACACCTTCTATAAAATTTGCTGAGCCAACATGTCTTTAACCCTCATTTTCCATAATCAGAAATTATTTGTCCTATCGAACCTTGTTACTTTGAATTTTGCACCAGAGTTAACCATCATCTGATACCAATTGTTAGAATAAAAACCAATATAGAAGATTAAAGATAAACGAAGGTAAAAGACAATGAACACAATCAATCTTTGTTAATGCGATTCGACTAATGGTGCCTACCTTTGCGTCAACAACTATAGTTTCATTTATTTCTATCTAATTAATTTGGATTTCAGTGTTACAAGTCATATACATAATACTAAAGTCCATTTTACATAAACCTTAATCCCAAGTTACCCACAACAAATAGTTATCTCTACACATAATAATCTCCATTATATAATTTATACTCAACAATATTCATAATAATCTATAATCCATACTCAATAGAGATCCACCAAATTATTCCTCTTACTCCCCTGCTTAACACAAGTGTGAAAGAACCCAGTATTGACATCCCTCTCCTTCAACCAAGTCAATCTGGATCTCTGAAAAATATAAGAATTGCGGCATTGGGTGAGATCCCACAACTCTTGAAAAATATGAGACCCAATGGCTAACTCTTTTTGGAGAAGAGACTTCGACTTCGCTCTCAACTCCAAACTCAAAAGATTATTCGAACAAACCTTAATCTTAAAATCCAATTCCTAAACACGCCCTTATTCCAAACCATAAGAGTCCCTTTAAGATCTATCAACTTATCCTTCAGCTTGTACACCATCCAACTCTCACAAACCTCCAACCGCCAGGACTCACAAACCACCCTCTCATGATTAGCATCCCTCAACTAGAAATCGTTAAACCTAAAAGGGTTAGCCCTCACCCCCACCCCCAAATATGATAAGAATACTTCAAAACTAATAGACAATGATCAGAGACGTCTCAGGCCAAAGCCCACAGACTACCCTAACCATAATCTCACTCCCACCCAATCAAAAGAAGAGCTCAAACATTTGAATAGAACCAGGTAAACCTCTTCCTAGCCTGAGGTAAATCCACCAATCTCACCGCTTCAATGAAAGCACCAAACTCCAGGGACTCCACAAGGATCGAATCCTAAGTCCCCGCAGTCACCTCATTCCTCTCAACGCAACTAAAAACCATACAACACACCCGCAGAACCCGAGAGCCCGAGAGACGTTCACATGTGTGAACCAAAATATCACACATCACTCTTTTTTCCGCCAACGCGCACTTGACATAGACATTTTAACCTTAAAAAATTAATCATAATATTAATTGAAAAGTGATCTACAAAAATCAAATTGC